CCCATACGCTGCGCAGAGGGTTGACACGGGACACACCGCGTGCAGCGCGTGACCTAGTGCTGGGTGGAACACAGCAGAAACTGCTAAGGTGTCTCCTCACCTTAGAGACTTTTAAAAATATAAGTGTTATATTTTTAAATTTTTTGGTCAAAGACAATAATCAACATAAAAATCTCATTTTAGGGTTTCCATGCTCCCTTGCCTTTTACAGAGACATCTGGCAGGTTGAGGCACAGTTGGGGCCACAGTTGAGCATCTGGGACGATCCCCTTTTGCCCCATGATGCCATCAACTCTGACGAGTTGGAACTCCGGGTCCTCTAGACCCAGCCGCAAAACAAGAGTTGGTTTTCCTTTTCCCCATAGTCCTTATACAATTATAATTGCCCCCCACTCTCCGCTTTGCCACCCAAGACCAAGTCTGTCAGGGCAAATGAATCAACAAAGTTTGCTTCTGGAAACAAATTTGTTTTAAAGCTCTTAAGACATCCCTCTTTCTCCTTCCTCCATCGCCCTCCTGTCTCTGCCTCCTGGGGTGGAGTCTGAGCCCTTTAGGAGGTTGGTTACTGCAAGCTCGAGACGGAGGAGCTCGGTCTGCAGGCAAGGAGTTAACCCCACAGGTGAAGAGTGTCATGGGAAAGACTAAGATCTGAAGGTCACTCTGTAAGCCGGGACTCGGCCGAAGCCAGCCCGACACGCGTGTCCCCGGGCGGTGCCCACAGCGGTCGTGGTAACTTCCTCTTAGCGGTGAGGCCTGAGGGCCACACGCCCGCCTGTGTGCCCAGGCCAGAGTCACTGGGAAGGAAAAGAAAAAAGAAAAAGGAAAAATCCTGCCAGCTTACGTAAAAATTAATTCTGTCTTTATTGCAGAATAATAATTCTTGGTGTCATTGTCTAACATGCTTTGGCCTTCATTTCGTGATTGTCTCAACTGACTGTCCGCACTCCACACAGCACGAATGGCGTGTGAGCTGCCTCTCGGGGGCAGAGGGCGGGCCTCACACTGCAGAGATCTAGAAGCCAACGGTGTCACCCAGCATACACCAAACAATAGATCTCCAGGGCTCTAAAAGGTGTTTTCGAAAACAAGCAGAAAAATCAAAGAGTGTTTGCAAAGAAAACTGTTTCCCAAGGAATGTAAATCTTCCAATATTAATTTGTAAAAGGACCTCATATTTGGTACCTTTTCCCTAGAAGAATAAACCAAGTATTAACCTTCTGTCAGATGATAGACAAAGAGCACAAACTGATTTGTTTTCATTTCCTGATAAATATCTTATGAATAGTTAATGCTGTCTTGCTTTTTATGTTTGTAAAATACATTGCTTTTTATAAAAGAATTAGTCAAAAGTTTTAAAACACCCTTTAGATTCTCCTACTATGATGAATAATTTAACTTTGCCTCTTATATCGAAAGAGTATTGAACCGAAGTAGTTTCATGTCAGTATCTGAGCATCTACAGTAGTCTGTGGTTCTACCAAATCAAAAGAAAGCAAATTTGTGAACACGGTTTTCCCAAACTGAAGATAATTTATTTCCGTAAAACATGGACTATGACCGTAAATGCTGGCTGTGCTGATGCCATGCTCTGCACCAGAAGAGATCACGGCGGAAGAGACCAGTGGGCCACAGGGATTGGGGTCCTGACATGCTGTGTTCTGCCGCCGGCGGGTGTCGGTAGGGTATGGGCCACAGGGAAGCAGCTGAACTCGAAGGGTGGATAAGTGCCCAGCAAACTGCAAACCCTGGGAGGAGGCGAAAGGGCTCCAGAACTGTGCCATTTGCAGTAAAGAAATCAAGACACCAAAAAGCAAATGGAAAAGGACCAGGGCTTCGAATTGGTGAGAGCCAGGTGCACGACCGGTGCAGACCACAGTCCAGGCTCTTTAAGCTTGCGGTCCCCAACCCCTGGGCCGCGGCCTATTAGGAACCGGGCCAGGAATCACCACCTGAACTCCATCTCCCACCACCCCATCCCTGTCTACGGAAAAATTGTCTTCCATGAAACCAGTCCCTGGTGCCAAAAAGGTTGGGGACCACTGCTTTAAGCCAAAGACACTTGTGACATATTTGGATCATTGGCACCACTTAACAGGGTCCTTGTGAAGTTAAATGGAATGAGTTTTGTTTCTTCTAATTGTCACTTAGTGTATTCTACAAGCAATACCTGAGAACAGCAGCACAGCAGTATAACATAATTTACAAATCCTATTCAAGAAGAAAACAGCGTGTTAATTTTTATTGCAGTTTGGGCTGGAGTTGGGGGTGAAACATCCGGTCTCTTGTACATCTTGTTGTGACCCCCTTGCTACTCTGTGAGAGGAGTGTGGTGTCCTGCTGTGCTCTATCCAGAGGGCGGCTTTGGGCAGTTCCCTAACTGCTCCGGGATGGTTTCCTCAGCTGTCAGGCAGGGATAATAATAGCGCCTATGTCACACGGTTGTGGGGGTTAAATGAGTTAATCCACGTGGAGGGTCTGAGACGGCACCCAGGGTGTGGTAAGCTTTCACAAAGTCACCGACTGGCGTCACCGCTCCTTCCATCAAGAATGGGGCCACGCCCACCGGTAGTCCCCACCACCAGCTCGGCAGCAAGCCCCGAATTCGCAGTGGCAGTGGTTGACTGGTGGCCTGTCGAAGGGGCCCCAGTGGACACACTACATTTCTGTGCAAAGTTAGGACCGTCCCATGGATTCGTACGATTGGCAGCCGCAGATCAGCACCGCTCAGGAACTAAAGTTGAGTTTCAAAACTCCCTCTTTCTAAGACGTGCCAGAATCTCTTTCAACATCTCTCCTGTTTCCTTTAACAATGTACCGCCATGTGCATTTGGGATTGAAAATATATACCAGTTCTGATCACATTTAATGGACTCATAAGATGGAAGTATCTGTCCAGACAATAAGTGAAGAAATTTAGTACGAGGAATCAGCTCAGCTTTGGAGGCCGAGCAGTCCCAAGTTCTGCGGTCAGCAAGCTGGGGACCCAGGAGAGCGGACCGTGCAGTTCCAGGCTGAAAGTCACAGGCTCGAGACCCAAGAAAGAGCCGACGTTTCAATTCTAGTCTGAAGGCAGGGAAAAAAAACAGTGTTTTAGCTCAGACAGGAGGAGGAGGCACATCCCCTACTCCCTGAGGGAGGGTTGGCCTTTTTGTTCCTCAGACCCCCAGGGGACTGGGCAAGGCCCCCCGGCATTAGGGGGGGCCAATGGCTACACTCTGTCTACCAGGTCAAATGCTAATCTCATCCCAACTCCCCCAGACACACTCGGAAGAATGTTTAACCAAATATGGGTCACCCTGCGGCTCAGTCAAGCTGACACATTAAAACTGACCGTGACAGGCCCCTCCCAAAGGGGCTTCTCCAGCAGGTGTGGACGCGTGAGTGGTCACTGCCAGCACACAGACCTCCCAGGGCCTGAGCTGGTCGGGCGAGGGTGACTAATCACCTCATTTTGCCCAGGGCTGAGGGGTTCCTGGGATGCAGGACTTTCGGTTTTAAAAACCTGCACAGGTCTCAGGCAAACAGGAATAAATTGTCCCTCCGGGCAGAACCCCACCAGCACCTACCCTCCCAATACACGGTGCATCCCCGTCACCCCCACACCTGACACCTGACACAGGTGTCATCCGCGCACCCAACTCCTGAACGTCCCCCTGACACTTGCCCCTGACCCCCGTCCTTCACAGGAGAATTAGCTCCTCCCAGGAAAACCCTCAGAGCAAGACAGTGTTGAGCCCCCTGCGGACGTGGGTAAAAAGCCACGCTCCCACATTGGCACTCCGCGACGGTACGTCATGTCGTCTTCCTCACAACAGGGCACTGGCTTCTTCACGCCCCATGGAGGGGGACTAGCTCCGCTCTGGAAGGGAAGAGTGCAAAGAATTTGTGGTCACGTCTTTAAAAGCACCACGAGGGCAAAGGCAAATCTGATCTATCTCATAAAACTGCCTGTGTCCGGCCGTCAACACCACCATCTGGAAACCGAATCCATAAAAATCCCACATGCTCTCAACGTTGCTCCACCACAGTCTCCCTGGCCTGGTCAACCTGAGGCCAGTGGGGCCTCCGCTGCCACAATTCAACTCCAACCTAGAGACGTTCTGAAAAATGCTAGAAGTTTCCGGAAACCCCACTCCTGGGAGCTCTGCCTTTGAAGCAGATGTGGTACCATGGATCGCACAGTCATCTTTGGGAATGACCCATCAACACCTTTGCCATTATCCCACAAGCTGTAGGGTCAGGCAGTGACCTGGGAAGACAAGCAGTGAAAAAGAGAGGAAATTAATGCCTTTCGCAACAATCTGGATGGAACTGGAGACCATTCTCCTAAGTGAAGTGTCTCAAGAATGGAAAAACAAACACCACATGTACTGACTATTGAATTGGAAGTAACCAGTGAGCGCACACGTGCACAGAGGGAAGTAAAATCAGTGGAAATCGCCCAGGGGAGGGGGCAGTAGGGGAGGGACAAAAACCTACCTACTGAGTACTATGAACACTCTTTGGGTGACAGGCACACCTTTAACCAGGACTCAAGCATTACAAAAGTGATCCATGTAACCTAAAACATTTGTACCCCCTTAATATTTTGAAAGAAAAAGAAAAAGAAAGGACCCAAACATCTCGCCAATCCGCTGAACCCAGCCACTGGCTCCAAGTCAAAGAGTGGTTGTTGTTTTGCTTTCCTGTTTCTACACACGCCTTTCCTTTCTTTCGCTTCTTTTCTTATTGGAGGACACCACACCTTCAAGTGCGTTCACGAGAAGGATGGGGGGAAGGGGAGCGGGGAGAGGGTAACCTTTACCATCATCTCTGTGCTGAAAATTCCGCTGAGGATGTCTCTCACAAAGCAGTTAGGATGAGGGTTCATTAAATTGTTTTATTTAGAGTATTACACTCATGTATTTTATGGAAGGATTAGAAGTTTCTTACAGCTAATGTGGCTGGTTTTTATTTTGTTGCCCATTTTGCAACTGATGTTTCTGTATTTTCTCTTTCAGGTGACTGAGCGATTTCACCTCCCGCCTCCAGCAAGTGCGACAAACAAGAAAAGATCAACGATCAATCACGTTTTCCGTGAAGTCAAGTCCAAGTAACGTCCCACCTCAAGCACGAGCTAGGGAAATGAAGCACATTATCAATCCCTATGAAAACACCAACCATACAGCAAGCAATAACTCAGACTGCCCTCGCGTGGTTTTGCCAGAAGAGATATTTTTCACAATATCCGTGGTTGGAGTTTTGGAGAACCTGATTGTCCTTCTGGCTGTGTTCAAGAATAAGAACCTCCAGGCGCCCATGTACTTTTTCATTTGTAGTTTGGCCATTTCTGACATGTTGGGCAGCCTGTATAAGATCTTGGAAAATATCCTGATCATATTCAGAAACATGGGTTATCTCAAGCCTCGTGGCAATTTTGAAACCACGGCCGATGACATCATCGACTCCCTGTTCGTCCTCTCTCTGCTTGGCTCCATTTTCAGCCTGTCTGTGATCGCTGCTGACCGCTACATCACCATCTTCCACGCTCTGCAGTACCACAGCATCGTGACCATGCGCCGCACCGTCATCGTCCTGACGGTCATCTGGACCTTCTGCACAGGGAGCGGCATCGCCATGGTGATCTTCTCCCATCACGTCCCCACAGTGATCACCTTCACGTCGCTGTTTCCTCTGATGTTGGTCTTCATCCTGTGCCTCTATGTGCACATGTTCCTGCTGGCCCGGTCCCACGCCAGGAAGATTTCGACCCTCCCCAGAGCCAACATGAAAGGGGCCATCACACTGACCATCCTGCTTGGGGTCTTCATCTTCTGTTGGGCCCCCTTTGTCCTTCATGTCCTCTTAATGACATTCTGCCCAAATAACCCTTACTGTGCTTGCTACATGTCTCTCTTCCAGGTGAATGGTATGTTGATCATGTGCAATGCAGTAATTGACCCCTTTATATACGCCTTCCGGAGCCCAGAGCTCAGGGATGCATTCAAGAAGATGATCTTCTGCAGCAGGTGCCGGTAGAATTATTGATCCCTGATTTTAGAATCCATGGGAATAATATTATCAAGGGAAAGAACAATGGAACATTCTAACAAATACTAATGTTCCTGACTGTCCTTTCCGTCCCTGATGGACATGAGGATTATCCCACTAGCTAGTGTATATAACAGCTTGGTTTTATGGGAACGGTTTTGTTGTAGGAGGAACATTCATAACTTTATAACGAGAGAGATAAAATGACGTACTAAAGGAAGGATAGAATACGAGGCACACACGGCGGTCCAAGTGCAAGGGCTCTGGGCCAAGGCAAGGACTTCTTCTTCTACGCACATCCAGCAAGCCAATCCCGGGTGGCCTTTCCAGGCTGGAGGCCACTGCAGCCAATTTCTAGAAGTTAAAGTGCCTGGGCAAGTGACTCGGGGCAGACGCCATGGGGTCTCTCTAAGCCACTAATAAATTGGTGCAAATAAATTGCTGCAGGTGTTTGTGCCTGTCTCCCACAGCCATGCGGCATCCCGCCTCCCCCTCCCTCGCCTGCCTGACGCGGTGCCAGCCACCTCCAGTGTTTGTGGGCGCGGGCACTGTATCAATTACAAATGTCCAATAACCAGCGCTGGGTTTCCAATAATAGACGACCCTTCTCTGTTAGTCTTCTTCGCTCACTCAGCATCCCACTGGCCTTAAACCCTTTCCTGTTAAATCTCCTCATGCTTTAGGAGCGTAAATTTCAAAGGGGGAAATAAGAATTTAATCCATGTTGTTCCTACGTGGGAACACACACGGCCAGAAGAACACTGACTCTGCGGAAGGCATAACCAAACTTTGTGTGCTTGTCCTAATGTAGAAATGAAGGAAAATCGGCCCTAATGTGTATTTTGTGGAATAAGTAGAACGTGAGAGTGTGTGTGTGAGTGCGTGAGTGTGTGTGTGTGTTCCACGCTCTTTCGGACTATGGGGAAAACCAAGACCAAGCACGTCAAGCAGCCGTGCTATTGTTATATGAGAGACCACACCAAAGACTTGATGGAAAAAAGTTCTACCTCCTTCTACGGACGAGTCTGAAAGGCAGATCCAGTCACGGGAAAACTTCCTCCTACCATCAGCCACAGGCAAGATGCCAGAAAACAGCACCCCCAATAGGAATAAAAGAAGCAAAATTTGCGAGTCCATCCATTTTTAACAGCTAGAGCTCAAAGGAGAAGCAAGTTCTGATGGTAAGTCCTCACTCGGCTGGGCGTGAAGGGGTGAGTGACGCAGGGGCAGAGCAGGACAGCGCGGGCTTCAGACGCACGACGCCTGAGCAGGCTCGGGATCCACGGGGCCGGACTGTGTCCTCCGGGAGAGGCGAAGCTTTGCCGTCAGGAGAGTTTCCCACGTGCTGCTGAGAGGAGAAGGCAGCCACGCGCGGGACTGATCGCGGGGTGGTGGGTTTAATGTTAGACGTGGGAGGGACAGGAACTTGTCGGCACAAAGGGGAAGCCTGGCTTTACGGGAGCACAGTCCCAGGCGGGCCCACGGCCTGTGTCACGGTACATCTTCTTGTCCTCTTCTGCAGAAGCCCCTCCCGTGCGGCCCCTTCTCCACCAAGTGGACTATGTTACTCTAACATTAACCTGCATTCATCAGTATATAAAATACTGTATGCGAGTTTATTTTCCATGAAATCTAAAGGAAAGCCCTACAAATAATTTTTAAAAGTGTTATTTCTACCATTGAAAAAATAATGTGTAACACATTTTTTTTGATTAAACTGAGTATTCTCAATAAAATGTAACCTTTCTTTGCAGTTGTGCCGCTGCATGATACTACGGAGGCAGGAGTGCCATTCGACCCCCATCACGCGTGGTTCCGAACGGCTCTGCGTGTGGAATTCCGCCTTCAGCAACGGCTTTGCTGTCTCCTGATCACGCACACGCACTCTGCTGTCACACCCGACTGTTGTCAGAGGAAAATCACCTAGAAATTCCTCCACCTCTCACTGCCTTCAATTCATTGCATTTAATCTAAGAAACAAATTAAGAAGCCTAGTCTAATAGTACATAAAACAAAAATAAAGGATTTTTTAATTTCCTCTCCATCCTGAGTGCTAATTCAGAGATATTTTCAATTCTAGGCCCTCAGCTATATTCAAATCACTGCAGGACCTTTCGTGCTCATAGTTGCTGGAAAAATTATAGTTTTGTACCACTCACTTCACATATAGTTCAAAATGAAAACAGTATCAGACTGCAAATATTTGTGTCAGGAAGATCAATAGGCTGTTTTATTAAATTATCTTTTCCCATGATGACTACTTCAATACTTTTATCAAACTATCAGATTTTTTGCTGCTGTGTGGATGCCATAACTGTGGGTTCAGTTTTGTGGATGACGTGACCTTGGACCGGATAGCCGGGAATGTTAGACAAAGGGTGAATCGCTACGAGCTGATCCGATGTGGTCTCGGTGCAGCAGTGTACTCGTTCCAAGCCCTCTCAAATGACAGGGGAGGACGTTTCCTCTTCCTCCCCCGTTTCCCCTCTGGTCAGCGACGGGCAAGCCAGGCTCAGCTGGCACCGCGCTGCCGCTGCGGCCGCACACGCCTTGGGCCGAGGTGGGAAAGGGCTGAGAGAGCAGTGAAGGAGCACGCCCACAGCGCCTGGCGAAGACCCCTGAGAAGCACGAGCAAACCAATAAATGAATTCTGAGAATTGTCAGAACTGATGTTTCCTGAGCGGTGGCAAGATATCTGGTAATAACAATAATAATATTGGTAACAATAGCAATAATAATGGTACCTATCTATGACCAAACAGTTGCTGCAAGCCAGGTGTTATTCTAAGGGCTTTGCCTACTTTAATCCTCACAAGGACCCTACAGGTAATTCTATCATTACCCTCTCGTTTTGAGATGCGTCAGCTGAGGTTCAGAGATATTTGCAGTGTCTGCAGCAGGCCAACTCTAAGGTGGCCTTTGTCATTCCTACCTGCTGGTGTTCATATTTCCGCATAATCCCTACCCCTGGAGTGTGGATGGGACCGTGACTTGCTTCTAACCCACAGAGTATGGCAAATGTGATGGAACGTCACTCTCGTGATTACAGAACATTACCTAAAACCCCGTCTTACTAGCAGACTTGGGAGAGAGACTCTGCTTTCTGGCTTGATGAAATCAGCGGCCATGCTGGGGACCCTCATCTAGCAAGAAACTGCGAGGGGCCTCCAGGAACTGAGGGGGTGCCTAGGAACTGAGGGGGGTGGTCTCTAGTTCCTGTGCAAGAACCTGAAGCTCTCAATCATGCAGACCCTGAGCCTCAGATGAGAATGCAGTCCAGCCTCCACCTCGATTTTAACCCTGTGAGACCCAAGCAGAGGATCTAGCTGAGCCATACCCAGGTTTATGACCCATGAAACTGTGAGATAACAAATGTGTATTGTTTTAAGCCACTAAGTTCGTGGAAATTTGTTATGCAACAAGAAACTAATACATTTATTCAACTCAAGTTAGTGAGTACCAGAGTCAGGAGTCAACTCCAGGCTGCCATCTGGCCCCAGCTCACACCCTGGCATGCTGGGATGCTCCACGTGCAAACAAAAGGCCCTACCATGGCTAGGTGCCTATTCGCTTCGTCTCCTTCCAGGCCAGGACGGCACACTGAGAACACCTGAGGCCACTGGCCCTCCCCCTCACTGCACACTCAGCTCCAAAACTGAGAGTCCCTCAGAGAGAAGTGTACCATTGTCCGGTCTCTACCCGCGTCCAGAGCGCTGGCTCAGAGATTTTGCCTGGGAGGAGAAGAAAGCCATAAAACAAACGGCTCCTAATCTCTTCCTAAAGAAACTGACTGCATTTCCAACACTGTGGGGAAGTCCAAGCACTCTCAATAGTGTTGGAAGTTTTTAAATCACTGCAAATGTGTTTTCTTTTTAAAGAAAAAAAAAAAAAAGAACAATGGAAATTGCAGCAAAAGGCAAGTATGAGGAGGACAATAGATTTGTTGGAGATACAGGCGGCCCTACAGGCCAGGCAGTCTGCTGAGAGCGTCCAAGAAAGAGAGAGCAGTGGCAGCCTTCCTGGGTCAGAGCAAAGCTCAACCACTGACCTTGGGAACTAACACTTCAAAGCAGCCAAATTGGGTGAGATTTGTTTTGGGGGTAATTGATGCCTCAGGCATTGTGAAAACAATAATCGGTCAGCAATTAGTGGTGCTCCGCAGCTGAGGGCGGTCAGGGACAGACAGGCAACAGACCTGTCAAACCACCACTGTCCTGTGGTGGCCGTGGGCTGCTGCCCAAGAACATCGGAGACGTTAACACTGCAGAGTGGGATGGTGGGGCAGAATTAACTAAAATAATCCAGATAGACTGTAAGGCTGGTGGCGGGCACCCCTCCCCTCCCTAAAGAAGAAAGAGTAACCACACCTAAATGTTCACCCGGATAAGAGAAGTTTCAGTCCCTGGGGCCCACACATACCACGGGTCCCTCCTGGAATCCACTCATACCACCAGCCCCTCCTACTTCTCAATACCTGCCATCCCCCAACTCTAAAACATACACAAGCCCGCTCAAAAATTCTGGGCGGCGCCACTTCTCAGGCCCCTCTCTGAGGACCCATGAACCTCACCCGGGAGCGCTCAATAAAGCCACGTTGTTTGGCCCCCCACTTTGTCTGTCTTTCTTCCTCCTCGCCGCTAAAAAACTTTACACAGACCATATCTCATTCCCGTGTCAGATGCCAAGTGGGTAGGGCCATTTAACCAGGACATAAAAATACTACTGCTTAGTCTAGTGCTTCCTCTTCTGATGCACTCACCATATTGGGCTTTTTGTTTGCCCACCTCCCTGTTCTCTTAATCTCTAACTACAGATATGCAGAAATACTCCTAGTGCCATTCTGATCCTGCTTTTGTTGACTCAACATCACCAGGGCTGCCTTCTCTTCTCCTGTCAGAGATAGGCTTGTATAATGCTGATTATTTTCTTTCCAACGTCTCATAGAACTTGGAAAGCCCTCTAAACGCAATAACAATTAGCAAGAATTT